GAGAAAGGTGTAGAGGCCACCTCATGTCCACTAGGTGGCATGCTGTCCTTTCTGCAGTAGCTGATGGACAGAAATCTGGCATTCAGCACAATTAAAATCTTTTAAAAGGTGTACAGAGGCGCAGGCCTGTATCACGCCCACTTTCTCTACAGTGGGATTTAACGCTGGTTCTGCAAGCCTTGATCAAAGCTCCATTCGAGCCACTAGATCAGGTTCCGATTAAATTCTTGTCTCTTAAAACAGCCCTGCTATTGGCTTTAACATCCGCAAAGAGGGTGAGTGATTTATCTGCCCTCTCTGTCGCACCGTCATGTCTCAGAATTCAGGCTGATGGCAGCTCAGCTGATCTGAGGCCTAACCCAGCGTTTATGCCTAAAACATCACAAGCTCTTAAATCAAGAGCTATATCGCTGGAGGGATTTTTCCCTCCTCCCCACAAATCAGAAGAAGTATCTTCCATCTTCTCTGCCCTGTACATGCGTTGACGTGTTACGTAGCACGCATAGCGGCACTGCGTCAGACTCAACATTTGTTTGTGCATTATAGAGATGCATCTGCAGGTCGCCCGTTATCCACCCAGCACCTGTCACACTGGCTGTGTGAGGCCATTTCTGAAGCCTACAGAGAATCTGATTTAGAGCCTCCTGACAACCTCAGGGCGCACTCGACCAGAGGTATCGCATCTTCGACTGCTTTGCATTATGGTATAACAATGCAGGATATTTGCACTGCGGCCGCGTGGTCAACACCCTGTTCATTTATTCACTTTTATTTACGTGATGTGTCTACTCGTTCCATGACACATTCTGTCCTTAGTGCCTTACAGAATGAATATTGTTGTTTCATGGAATCTCGTTTAAACTCATCTGACTGCATGCATTTACAGTGCGAGATGTTGTTATCAGTCACAGGTTATGACTGTTGTTCTTGTTCTATGGTCACTGATCAGTTCATGACTTCTGTCATCAATCAGTTCATTTGATTAATAATCAGTTCACTTATTATTATTAATCTGTTCATGTTGAAGAGCCGTGGATCTGCTCTGTTCACGGCCTTTTTCAGCCTCTCCTCTTTCCCGTTGAAAACTTTTCCGGGGCGTTCATGCATTTGGAACGCGTAAACTACGCAGTGCGCATCTGTGCATGGTATGCTTAATTACGCAATGCATATTTACGCACATGGAGAGCTGAATGACTTAAGACATTTTTTGGGCAAGCGGGCGCTTCATATGGTGTTCGAATGGACCCAGTGAGGCGAAGACCACATCTTGCTTTACCTTTAACCCACAGCGACAGCTCTTAAAGGGCGAAGCCTATACGAAATAGAACGTTGGTTACGTACTGTAACCCCAGATTCTATGAGTATAGGCGCAGTCCTTTAAGCGTCGGGCCTCACTGGTTCCTAAATGGCTGAAGAATAAAAGCTATTTGGGAGCTGATTACCCGCTTTTAACATAATTTATACGGACCGGGTGGGGCCTACACAACAGGTGGGCGTGGACTAAATTTTTTCAGTGCGATTTTTTGCATGACGGGATAAACCCACCAGCAACAGCTCTTAAAGGGCTACGCTTATACACATAGAATCTGGGGTTACAGTACGTAACCAACGTTTTTGGACATGAGCATTTTGGGAATAAACCTTGTCGTCTTTCACTTCCTCTTGATAGCATTAATTTGGGCTCCAGTTTTAAAGTTTAAAATCTTCATTATTTTGGATCAGGACATGTCTTTTATCCCCCACAATGAAAAATTTACCAGAACCGCCTTCTTCCATCTGCGTAATATCACTAAAATTTGAAACATCTTGTCCAAAAAGGATGCAGAAAAACTGCTCCATGCTTGGACTATTGCAGGTTTTTATTATGTGTTCCCAAAAACTTCTTTCAAAAATCTTCAGCTGATCCAAAATGCTGCTGCCAGAATTTTAATGAGCGTTGATAGGAGAGATCATATTTCTCCAGTTTTAGCTTCTCTCCATTGGCTCCCTGCCAAATTCAGAATTGAATTCAAAATCTTACTTCTAACCTACAAAGCTCTCAACAACTTAGCTCCATCTTATATTACAGATCTTATTGTTCCATATTTTCCTAACAGAGCACTTCACCCTCAGACTGCAGGTTTACTTGTGGTTCCTAGTTTCCAAAAGTAGAATGGGAGGCAGATCTTTCAGCAGACTCCTAAACACATGTTAGGATAGAAAAAAATACAAAACAGGTTGAGTAGAGTAAGTAAAGACAGTAGCAGAGTGAAGAAATGTGGTCAGTTTGTCCTCCAGCAGTCTAAGCCTATAGCAGCATAACTAAGGGACAGCTCAGGAAACCCAAGCCGACCCTAACTATAGGATTTAGCAAAAAGGAAAGTCTTAAGCCTAGTCTTCAAACTGGATAATGTGTCAGCCTCACGGACAGAAACTGGAAGTTGGTTCCACAAGAGTGGAGCCTGATAACTGAAAGATCTGCCTCTCATTCTGTTTTTGTAAATTCTAGTGTAGCGTCCATCCTTCCAAGCCTTAAGAAAGACGGATGTCCTCAGAGACACTATGTCTATCCTACCCCCTCCATTTTCTGCTAATCTTAGACACTTCCTGACATACTGTTTTCCATCACAGGAAGTTTCTTTGTTATCCTTCTCTGTGTGCGTTAACATGTACAGCTGGGACCACCCTGATATATTCACTATATGATGATTAGTTTAGATTTTGTTTCTCTTAAAAAGAAGGCCTCCCAATGAGCTTCACTTGGCCTTATCAACAGAAATTGAAGATGTCAAGATGATGGGGGAAGTAAGACCTCAGTTGAGCAGAACTTCAAACACTATTTTGTTAATGTAAACAAGGTGTCAGTTCTTTATCTTCTCGGAAGAACTGAGAACGGAGGTTTAATTATATTAATTATACAGTGGGATACTCATAGTACTGTAAAAAACCTTCTGATTGGTTAAAAGTTAAGGGGCCCGTCTTCCCGATATCCGGTATACAGAACACTGGTATAGTGGTGGGACGGCAGCTGATGAGGAAAGTGGGCTTTGGATCAGCAGCCGAGCTGAGCAAATGGAACGAGTGGTTGTGGAGAGTTGATGAGACTCTGAGAAACAACAGCCATATGATGGAAGACGTGTCCAGCTGAGACATGGTGGACATCCTGAACCTTCTCAAAACACCCAGGAGTGAAAGGTATGCGCCGAACTGACCGCAGCCCTGAGAAATGACATCCTTCTTGGGACAGCAGACCACTGGCTTCTTCCTTCACGCATCCACTGCGGTAATGAGAGATGAACATCTTCCTTCTTATGAGAGGACCACGAAACAGTGCCAACTGTTTTAGATAATTTAATTCATGAATCTGAGATAAACTTACCTACATTTTAACGTTAAGAGCTAAGAACCGTAGTCCAAATTGAATCAAAACTCATTCTCAAAGTCCTTAGATTTGTTGTTTACTTTCTAAAATAATATTATTGGTTGTTCATTCATATTCCATATTTGCCATAATTTTCATGTCATAATTCAAACTGACAATAAACGTTACATAACTGTATTTAAATTACGGATTCTTCGTGTTTTCTTCGGGGGACAGGAATTAAGTTTGCTACAAGAACTCATGGTTTATATACGTTTGAGGTGAGGCCGGTCCAGAGTATGGGAGCGTAAATACCTGTTAAAGGGTAAGAGTTTGACCGGATCAGAAGTCCAATATCCTATACATATATATTCCCCTACACTAGGAACCACGAGTAAACCTGCAGTCTGAAAGTGAAGTGCTCTGTTAGGAAAATATGGAACAATAAGATCTGTAATATAAGATGGAGCTAGGTTGTTGAAAGCTTTGTAGGTTAGAAGTAAGATTTTGAATTCTATTCTGGATTTGACAGGGAGCCAATGGAGAGAAACTAAAACTGGAGAGAGATGATCTCTCCCACTAACTCCAGTTAAGACTCTGGCAGCAGCATTTTGGATCAACTGAAGACGTTTTAAAGAAGTATTTGGACACCCAGATAATAAACCATTGCAATAGTCCAGTCTAGACGTGACAAGTGCATGGACCAGTTTTTCTGCATCATTTTTAGAAAAGATGTTTCTAATTTAGTAATGTTTTTAATGTGGGGGATAAAAGACATGTCCTGATCAAAAATAACACCAAGATTTTTAACATTGGAACAGGAAGAAAAACTGGGCAGAGATGGGGTAGAGGCAGGGCAGCCGACTCAAGACCCGAAAGTCCCAGGCTCGATCCCCAGTCATTGCACATCTCTTGGTGTCTGAGCAGGACACCCTATCCCCATTTGCTCCCAGAGCGCCCTCAATAGCTGCCCACTACTCCACCGGGGGGTGGATGGGTTAAATGCAGAGAGCCAATTTCGCCATTTTATGGAAACCTATGATGACAAAATACAACACATTATTAATATTTTTATTATAACTTTTTCTACTTAGCTTTTTTTATGTATGTGAATGTTTCTGTTCAGTGCCCTGAGTCAACTTCTGTTGTGATTTGGAGCTATAGAAATAAACTGAAATGATTAAATTGAAGAAATCTTTTGGATAAAAGACAAAACATTTCAACAAAGAAGAACCCGTCCAGAGGACCTGACTACAGTACCTTGTTAGCGCTGTCTACTGTTGTTCATCAACTCACACAAGAGTTTGAAAAACTATTGACTGCAGCTATCAATAGTGGGCCTGCAATATTTCACATCAATGGTGGCATTTCCCAGAACAATTCAGTCTAGATTCATAAAGCTTCAGTGTGAAAGACATTGGCTGCCAAAATGCAGCTGAAGTCTTTGGTTGACTTAGAAACAGTGGTGTGTAAACCAGGCTTAAGTTGTTCATCTCGTTGTGTAATCCAACCCCCCAGTCCCTGGTTGGTTTTATCAGACGTTTGGCTGCCATCATCATCATCACTGTGATCAGTCCGACTTTATTCACATTTCACTTGTCTCATATTCTGTTGTTTTTGTCTCAGTGTCTGTTATTGATGGTTAGTTTCCTGTTACCAGTGCTCCCCGAGAGAAATCCATCAAGACCATTCAGGATGAGATCCGCTCCGTCATCAGACAGATAACAGCCACAGTGACCTTCCTGCCACTGCTTGAGACGCCATGTGAGGAATCTGCCTTTTTCTTCTTGTTCAGCTCAGTCAGTTCTGCCTTATTAACTGGGTCTCTCTCCCCCCTCCCCCCCCACAGGTGCCTTTGACCTCCTTGTCTACACAGACAAAGACCTGGTGGTTCCAGACAAGTGGGAGGAGTCCGGCCCACAGATTATTGACCAGTCAGAGGAGGTGCGTCTCCGCTCTTTTACCACCTCCATCCACAAGGTGAACAGCATGGTGGCGTACAAGAAGACTGACTCCGTCTGAATCACAGGAGCTGTACAAACCATCAAGCCTTTTTCTGTTAGGAGTTCTGTTGGGTCTGCTCACAAGATCCGTTTCCCTTTGCTCTGTTCACTCTAATGTAAATATTTCTCAAAAACAACTTGTTCAGTGTCATGTTTCTCTGAAGTTTCTCACCTCTTTTTATCTAGTGTTTCTCCTCAGCTGATACTTTTTGTGCATTAAGTGTTTGACCAGAAGGGGGCAGTGCAAGATAAAGCTCTACACACATGAAAATACGTGTCCTTTATTCATCCCATTGGCTCACAGTGTTCAGTGGTACTGACAGATACATGGAACCTGTCTGTCATACTGGTACCATATCAGCTCAGTACAAAAATCCAAAATTAAACAAAACAGGTCCACTTGTCTTACAGAAGTGGACCACCTTCTCGTCTTACATGCAAGAAACAAAGACCTCAGAAATTTTCATTTTTAAAAAGCAGCAAAGTTTAGGCTACAGGCACATCTATATCAATGCTGGAAACTTGAAAGTACAAAACAAACAACACGAATACAAACACGTCTACAAAAGTGCGTCACTGTGTGTTGTGTCTACAAAATGCACTCTGTTGCTGTGTGTACTGAGCACCACTGGTTTGGATAAGACAACAGTGATCTCAACAAGAGAAGTGTAATAATGCTTTATTGTTGTTCCTAACTGAATATAATCAGCTAAATGTGTAATTCAAAGCAAGTGGTGAAGTTCTGCTGTTCTAGCAGAAGTATAGTTTTGCAACAGTAGTCCTAAGTTAACTTCCACTTGTTTTGGCTACACTAACGCCCCTTTTCTGTTATTGCCTTTAGTATCAGTACAGCACGGTTCAGTTCAGTTCAGTACGGTACATGTTATTTCCATTATACTTTCAGTACTGGTTCTAGTGGGCGGGGTTCAAATTGATGTCACGCGCCTTACCAGCTGGTGGTGGTAATGCTGGTGGTAAGACCCTGAAACGGGTTTCAGTGCAGGGTGAGAATAAATTTTTGAAGTTACTGGTAAATTAAAAAGAAACAGATTATTTAAATGATCAAATTAAATAGGGATGCACAATATTATCAGCATGGTCTTGGTATTGGCCGATATTAACGTTAAATTTCAATATCGGACATCGGCTGATTGAAATAACTCGCCGATATAAAAGGTGCTGTTTTTGCCTGCAGTGGCAGCGCAACGCGATTACGTCACGTGTGCCTACCCGATCTCGCAGCGGAGAGAAAAATTCAAAATGTCGGCGGTGTGGAAGTTTTATTTTTTGTTGGTGAGGATGTCAGATTCCGAAGATTTATGGACTACATTGAGCCTCGCTACATCGTCCGCAGTTGGAGATATTTTTCCGACGTAGCGTTACCTGAGTTACAAGCCATAATTTCTGACGTCATTGAGAAGCTAATAGCCGATAGCACGACTTGTTGGGTGAGTTTTACCACAGACATTTGGACGTTGTGTTAGCCCTGTTAGCGTGATTAGTTTTACGGCACAATGGATAGACAAAAACTTTGAACTTAAAAAGGCTGTCCTTCATGCACAGGAGTGCAGAGGATCCCACACTGCAGTTAGGAACCTGGAACAAGCTTCCACAAGTGAGACAGCATCGCAGGTGACTAATGCTAATAAATAACATTTAACACATCTCAAAACTAAAGGAATTTTCTAGTTCCAAACTCATTCATCTTAAACTAAAGTTAAGATTATACTTTTTTTTTTTTAAAGAGATGAGTATGGAATTGATTAAAGTGTAATTAGATGCCTTTTAAAACAAAAAAGGCTAAATTGAAATAGAAGCTTCCATTTTGGGTTCATATATGTGAGCATCTGATTCCAGACAATCAGCCTCACCTGTCACAAACCTCACTGCACGTCACTGGAACAGGGGTGTCAAACTCACTTACAACAGGGGCCAAAATTAAAACCTTTTTCAAATTAAGGGCCAATTTCAGAAACTACATTTACTCAAATCAGATACTCAACATCTTTTCTTGGTCACAGGTTCCTCAAGATTCTAACTGGTGTCATTTGATGTTCTCTGTTGTGCTTTCAACATCATAATCAAAGATCTTGCTCTGAATTTTGTCGTCGGTCACCAAGCACAAAAAACGCCTGCACTTCAGCATTAGACCACGGTGTTGTCATTGCTTTCAAAATCTTTAAAATGGGTCCAGTCGCTCCTTGAGTTTGAGCACCGGTAATTGCAAATGCCGGATCGAGTGTTGTGAAAATTGCTCAAACCCCCATTGACTCCACCCCCTGACCAATCAGTGACTGACAGTGTTCTGACATCATGTTTTGGTGCTGGTTCGGCTAGCTTGGTACCTGAGAGTAAAGGGTACTGAAAAAAGGGACCGGTTCTACGAACCGTTACTAGTGGAAAAACCTTGGAACTGTGCCGAGTCGAACCGTGCCATGCCGTTACTAATGGAAAGGGGTATTTGACTGTTGAAACACTCAGATAGGCCTTTCTTACTGACGTAGAACAGACGTTCTGCATTTAGACTGGCTGACGTCCTCCCTATTGTTCAAAATAAAGCCAGTCAGACGGTGGGTGGTCTGCAGTCTTGAGGCTCTTATTGAGGTCACCATGAGGTTCACATGTGTTAGTGAAAAGTTTGGAGCTGTAAGCCCTGTTTACACGAGAACGACCTCTGGAAACCAGACTTTTTCATTGTTTACTAAAAGGTAAAAGGTCTTTTCTGTGCATGTGTTCACCAAACAATATGCACCTTTCAACACCGTCATGTGTTTGAAATAACCCCCCAAAAAAAGATTTCTGGTCGCTTTAAGGCAACTTTGAAAAAGTTTGGTTGAGGCTGCTGTTGACTAGTTAAGAACCAAAACAGGAACTTGTGCAGGGCAGAAGACCGCTAGCATGACTTCACCCATCAGTCCTGTTGGATGAAAACTAACTGCTGAGATCTTTTCAAAAACTGCTCTAAACTTGGTGAAAGGATCCTTTAAGTTGGTCTTTCTGTTTTTAAGTAATCATCCTACTCTTGCAGATCAGTACCAATTAAAACTTTGTAACTTCCATCAAATGTGCTTCTAGATCAGGGGTAGTCAACTGAATTCAGTGGCAGCATATCCAGCAATTATCATCATTAAATACATTTTGTTTTATGGTTTAAAATCTAGTTTTATTTTAAAATTAACCCATTGGTGGGCCGAACTAAACTCACCCGTGGGCCTGATTGGGCCTCCCGGCTGCCAGTTGAATAGACCTGTTCTAGAGCTAGATGATGTTTTAGTCAAAAACAGCTAATCACTCCTCAGTGCTGATAATTTATTTTTTGTTCACTGGAGTGACATCCTGACATGGGTTTGAAGAAATGTTTCATCACAACACAACAGTAGAACATGTGACAATACAAGTGAAACAATCGAGTCTTTAGCTCCAAGGTTTGAAGAGGGAAAGTTTTAGTTAAAGATGCTGCTCAAATAGCATGTGACCGTTGTTCCTTCAAACATTATAAACAGACTTTTATTATTAAAAACTACAGTTCCTATAAGAATCGTGCGCTCTTTTCAAAAGTACAACATAGAAACTAATAAATATATAAAACAAATAAATATGCCATAGTTAAGACAATAAGTGAAAAATGTATAAAAATGTGTGCTGTGAACAAGGACAAGCTTATATAATCATGTACAGTAAGTACAACAGATTCCACTGGAATGGTTCTGGTCCCTCCACGACCTGGGTCCATCCACCTATCTGTGAGGTCTTCAAGATGACAAGCACTGCAAAAATAAAGGCTATGGTCATAAATATGGCTTCGGGCTCACTCTGGTTCTACATCCTGTGAGCGACAGGAAGACACCCCTACCCTCATGAGAAAATGAGTTTATTTGGTTCCTCCTTTTTTTAATCCATCTTCTTCCTGGGGGCTCTGCTGTATAAATGATTGTGTACAACTTCCTGTCAGACTGGAAGTAGCAGTGAGCAGTTTGGTAGTGGAGTATGGACCATGATTTATTTGAAAGTAATTTTCATTCAGTTTAGCAGATAAAACTCTGTTTTTGTTTTGTTCACATTTGTTTAACAACCATAAAGTTTACTAAAGTAGCCGTGCTGAGTTCAGGTACCTGTCTGTTCGTGACTCCATGAACAATCAGACCAAACTAAATCAGTGACAACAACAACAGAGTTTGAACACGGACCCAAAACAAAAAGTATTTCTGTGAAGAGAGGTATAGTTTCCATCTCCTACCTACAGATGAGGAATTAAAAAGAATGTGGCTGAAAACTATGAACCTGAAGAGACCACCAAAAACACAGTCTGTGAGCTCATTTCACTTTGTTGACAAATGGCTGACGGAGGAAAGCCTGCATCCTACTTTGTGTCTGGACTACAATAAACCACTGGAGAAGAGACGCCGGATATGGTGTGCAGATCCATACTGTAGGATAAACTTCTTGCTGCAGCTGATCAGCTGTTCACCATGCGAGCGGAGAAGTGGGCGTGGCCAAGAGCGCTTGCAAGTGGCAAAGAGCAGAGGCAGGGAGCTGAAATCATGACATTCTGTGCTCTGTTAGTTTAGAAACATTGTTTAGAATATGGCAAGAGTGTGGGAAGGATTTAAAACACCTATAAGTAAATATATATATATATATATATATATATATATAAATATATTTATATATATATATATATACTTACTAGTACTACTATTCCTACTTCACAGTTTTTCACTTATCGCAGGTCTTCGGGGTACGGATCCCCCGCGATAAATGAGGGACTATTGTATTGTGATTTTTTCTGTAATTAACCCAAGCTCAGTGATGGAGGACTTTAAGGCTTTGACTGAGCTCTGTGTCTGCTATAATAAGCCGTCAATAAGATTGTGTCCCACCTCTTCTAATAAAACACCAACCTTATTACTGTGTAGATACTGATACACCGCAGAGCTTTTCAGGTTGTTCATTGCTTCACCGTCAGAAGAACCGAGTCAGTGAAGTAGCTAAATATGCTAGTAGATGTAATCTGTAGCCAGTTCTTCAGGTCGTCCTCAGCAGGCAGTGGTATGATAACAGGTGCTGGTCATAAAATTAGAATGTCAAGAAAAAGTTTATTTCAGTAATTCCATTCACAAAGTGAAACTTGGACATTATATTCATTCATTACACACAGACTGATATATTTCAAATGTTTATTTATTTTAATGTTGAGGAATATAACTGACAACTAATGAAAACCCCAAATTCAGAATCTCAGAAAATTAGAATATTACTTAAGACCAGTAAAAATAGGATTTTTAGAAATGTTGGCCAACTGAAAAGTATGAACATGAAAAGTATGAACATGAAAAGTATGAACATGAAAAGTATGAACATGAAAAGTATGAGCATGTACAGCATCAATACTTAGTTGTGGCTCCTTTTGCCTGGATTACTGCATCAATGCGGCGTAGCATGGAGTCGATCAGTCTGTGTTTCTGCTCAGATGTTATGAGAGTCCAGGTTGCTCTGATAGTGACCTTCAGCTCTTCTGAATTGTTGGGTCTGGTGTATAACATCTTCACAATAAGGTCAGGTGAGCTTGCGGGCCAATTAAGAACAGGAATACCATGATCCTTAAACCAGGTACTGGTAGCTTTGGCACTGTGTGCAGTCAGCAGCAGTTTTCCCATGATTGTGTAGCCTACAGAACTAGACCAAGAGACCATTTAAAGGCCTTTGCAGGTGTTTTGAGTTAATTAGCTGATTAGAGTGTGACACCAGGTGTTTTCAATATTGAACCTTTTCACAATATTCTAATTTTCTGAGATACTGAATTTGGGATTTTCATTAGTTGTCAATTATAATCATCAACATTAAAAGAAATAAACATTTGAAATATATCAGTCTGTGTGTAATGAATTAATATAATATACAAGTTTCACTTTTTGAATGGAATTACTGAAATAAATAAACTTTTCATGGTATTCTAATTTTATGACCAGCAGCTGTATATTGTCCTGTTTGAGCTCTGACAGGTGGTGTTCCTAGATGTTTAAATTAAATCCACAATGCTTGGAGAAACTACATTAGCTCGTACTATTCGCCATAAACAAATGCCAGTTCTGGTCCGCGCCAGAAGTCCCACCCATAATTCACGCAAGGCACAATGGGGGTTAGGAATAAGATGGATGGGGTGGTATATTTGGGTACGTTTAAACATTAATTTGATTTTTATAGTCAAGGCAATTTTCTTAAATAAAATCTGCTCACCTAAACTAAGAGGACTGAAAATCAGCCACAGAGCCACTGGAAACAGAACTGCTGCACTGTCCTTACTGAAATTCATTTAAATTAGCTTTTACTGGTTGGCTAACTAAATTGTCCCTAGGTGTGAGTGAGAGAGTGAATGGTTGTTTGTGTCTGTGTCCTTGTGATGAACTGAAGGCCTGTCCCGTCTCTCACACAGTGACTGCTGGATATGGGCAACAGTGACCCCCACGACCCGAAAAGGAAGAAGTGGGTAAAGATGATGGGTGTAATGCAATCCCTAGATCTGAGATCAGATTTCAGAGATCACTGAAATGCAGCACAAGTGACCATTTAGCTTTAGTTGACTGATAGTGTGGCTGCCTGCAGATAGAAGGATGAGGCCTTCTTCTCACAGTGGACTTCTCTGGTTTCAGGACAGGGAACTGACCTTCAGCCTGTTTCAGTGCACACAGCATGCTATATATTCTTCGTCAAATATCATGCTAAAGCAATAACATTTTGTGAGACCAGGCTAGACTAGAATAATCCTGGGAGTGTAGGTTTGTCAGAAGTCAAAGCTGTCTAACTAGTGTTGGGGGGGGGTCACACCAGTCCATTGACCAGCCCCTTCTCACAGTCCTCAGCCAAATGCTTCCAATGCTGCCGGTTCTTCTGACATCCTTCCAGCAGCGGGGAACAGTACTCCGACATGCCAGCCAAAGTCTAAAAGTAACAGGAGTTCAGAATTTAGATGTGTTACATTTTTACTGCTGTTCATAAAGTTTTCAGATATGAAAAACTGAGCCTACATTACCTCGTACAGCTGAATACAAATGGCATCAATGAAGGACACCTGCATGCTGGGTATCTTATCCCGTTTCTCACGGTTCATCAAATCCTACAGTAAAACCATCAAACAACAACACGCAAACGTCTGATGAGAGAAAACGGCATTTTATCTGCATGCATATGTTATTTCTACAATTCCTTTTTCTTTTACAACACATAAGACTGTCTAAAACACTCTCAGTCTTTAAGTCTCGCTTGAAGACCCACTTCTATTCGCTTGCCTTTAACATGGTGTGATTTGTTTTGGTCCGGTCTGTTCTCTACTCTGTTGGCCATTTTAGTTAGCTTCTGCTGCTATTTGTATCTGTATTTCTATTTTATGTTTTCCTGTCCGCTGTGCATGTTTGTGTTCTTTTGTACAGCACTTTGGTTGGCCTTGTTGCTGTTTTAAGTGCTATATAAATAAATTGGTATGGTATGGTAAAAATATTTGGCCCCTTAAAGGTTTCTGTCACTCCTTCATGTTTCATATCAGCAGGGTTGTTTGGATAGCCTTTTTTCTCTTAAAAAATAAATCATTTACAATTTTCATTGTGTATTTCCTCAGGTTGTCAATGTCTGAAGTTACCATTTATTTGATTGGAAACATATGAGTGACAAAAAAAGCAAAACAAAGTAAACTTTTTCAAAATACTCTACATTTTGGAATGATCCAAGAGTTATGTGGGGGCATAGAGAGCAGGAGGTTGTAACACAATACTCACAATTGGCTCAATGTTCAGTTCCCGTCTCTCCTTGTCCCCTTGCTCAAAGAACTCTGTGGCCACCAGCTCTGCAATCTGGTTCAGAGAGAAGAACCTGAACTGAATGTTCAGATTTCAGACACTCACAAAAGTCAACTGAACCATCAGACGACTAGTTGGACATGGACATGATGCTGTCATGTGATAACTTCTCACTTGTTAACAAGTGTTCTGTCGACGAGGGGTTTGAATAGTGAATGTTTGTAGTTTTCCAGATGTGTGTTTTTCTGGACTGGAATCGAGCGGATAATGTAAGGAAACCTTGGAATGTAAGGAAACCTCGTAAGGAATCTTCACCAGCGTAAGGAAAGCTTAATGTTTTAGATGCAAAATATTCAAGTGGGGAGGAGTTACACTGTGGAGAAAAGACCAATTAACATTAATTAGGTCAACTGACAACATGATTGGGTATAAAAAGAGCTTCTCAGAGTGTCAGTGTCTCTCAGAAGCCAAGATGGTAAGAGGATCACCGATTCCACCATTGTTCCGCAGAAAGATAGTGCAACAATACCAGAATGGTGTTACCCAGCGTAAAATAGCAAAGACTTTTAACTTATCATCATCAACTGTGCATAACATCATCAAAAGATTCAGAGAATCTGGAACAATCGCTGTGCGTAAGGGTCAAGGCCGTAAAACTCTACTGGATGCTCGTGATCTCTGGGCCCTTAAACGTCACTGCACCTCAAACAGGAATGCCACTGTCAAGGAAATAACAGAATGGGCTCAGGAATACTTCCAGAAAGCATTTTCAGTGAACACAATCCACCGTGCCATCTGCCGTTGCCAGCTGAAACTCTACAGTGCAAAGAGGAAGCCATTTCTAAGCTAGCTCCACAAGCTCAGACGTTTGCACTGGGCCAGGGGTCATTTAAAATGGAGTGTGGCAAAATGGAAGACTGTTCTGTGGTCAGATGAGTCACGATTTGAAGTTCTTTATGGAACACTGGGACGCCATGTCATCCGGACCAGAGAGGACAAGGATAGCCCAAGTTGTTATCAACGCTCCGTACAGAAGCCTGCATCACTGATGGTATGGGGTTTCATGAGCGCTTGTGGCATGGGCAGCTTGCATGCCTGGAAAGGCACCATTAATGCAGAGAACTATGTTCAGGTTCTAGAACAACATATGCTCCCATCTAGACGTCATCTCTTTCAGGGAAGACCCTGCATTTTTCAACACGATAATGCCAGACCACATTCTGCAGCAATCACAACATCATGGCTACGTAGGAGAAGGATCTGGGTATTGAAATGTCCAGCCTGCAGTCCAGATCTTTCACCTATAGAGAACATTTGGTGCATCATAAAGAGGAAGGTGTGACAAAGAAGGCCCAAGATGATTGAACAGTTAGAGGCCTGTATTAGACATGAATGGGAGAGCATTCCTATTTATAAACTTGAGAAACTGGTCTCCTCTGTCCCCAGATGTCTGTTGAGTGTTGTAAGAAGAAGGGGGGATGCCACACAGGGATAAAAATGGACTTGTCCCAACTTTTTTGGGATTTGTTGATGCCATGATATTTGGAAACAACAGATTTTTCCCTTAAAATTATACATTCTCTCAGTTTAAACTTTTGATCTGTGATTTGTGTTCTATTCTGAATAAAATATTAGATGTTGGCACCTCCACATCATTGCATTCAGTTTTTATTCACAATTTGTTTAGTGTCCCAACTTTTTTGGAATCCGGTTTGCATATATATATATATATATATATATATATACATACATACAGGTGCTGGTCATAAGATTAGAATATCATGAAAAAGTTTTATTTCAGTAATTCCATTCACAAAATGAAACTTGTATATTATATTCATACATTACACACAGACTGATATATTTCAAATGTTTATTTATTTTAATGTTGATAATTATAACTGACAACTAATGAAAAACCCAAATTCTGTATCTCAGAAAATTAGAATATTACTTAAGACCAAGAAGTCACATGTTGAGGGGCATGCGCAGACAGACCATTGTTACACACGTTACTTCCACAATGGGGCTTAACACTCCTACTCCGTGCACTGTCTAAAGAACCGTTATAAGCCTTGGATCAGATACTATATAGCTGAAATTTCTATCCTTTAAGACAGCTTTGCTGTTATCTCTGATGTCAGCGAAACGAGTGAGCGACCTCTCAGCCCTGTCGGTCACCCCCTCCTGTCTTAGAATCTAATATACTCAGTGGTGCTTCGTCCAAATCCTGCTTTTACACCTAAAAGCATAACAAGGTTTTTTTTTTTTTCAAATCCACATTTATAACGCTGGATGGGTTCTCTCCCCCTCCACATAATTCTGAAGAGGAGGCACAATCTCACCTCCTCTATTATGTTCGTGCGCTTGCGTGTTACTTGAGGCACACAGCTGCTCTGCGTAAATCTGAACAGCTGTTCATTCATTTCAGAGATCAGTCAAAAGGTCAACCTTTATATCCTCAGTGCTTGTCTCACTGGCTAGGCAAAACATTGGTTACGTACTGTAACCCCAGATTCTATGAGTGTAGGCGCAGCCCTTTAAGGCTATCGCTAGTGGGTTTATCCCTTCGCGCACAGCGCAGCACTGAAAACGTTAGTCCGCGCCCACTGGCTGTGTGGGCCCCACCCCGGTCCATATAATTTATGGTGAGACCAGACAATCGGCTTCCAAATAGCTTTTTTTCTTCAGCCATTTAGGAACTAGTGAGGCCCAGAGCTTAAAGGACTGTGTCTATACTCATAGAATCTGGGGTTACAGTACGTAACCAACGTTCTATTTTGTATAGGCTTAGCCCTTTAAGGCTATCGCTAGTGGGTTAAAGGCGAAGCAGGATGTAGTTTTTGCTTCACTGGGTCCAATCAGACACAAACATGAAGCATCTGCTCGCACAAAACACATTTCATCACTCAGCCTTCTGTGTGCGTAATTACGCGCTCCATGCGCAGCAGCGCACCGGAGAAAAAAATGATCTCTGGAGAAAGAAGGGCTGAGATAACAGACTTGCTGCTGTGAATAGGAAAAACTGCAGTTACAAGTTGTAACAATGTAACAATGAGGAGAGCAGGCTAGCAGCTCCACAGGGTGAACAGATTAATAACAATAACATCAGCAGTCATGAACTGTGACTGATAATAAATATCTCACACTGCGACTGCATGCAGGCAGGTGTGAGCCCAAAATGAGGTTCCATGAAAAAATTACAATCATTCTGTTAGAACCCTGAAAACAGAATGGGTCATGGAGAAAGTGGAGACATCACATAGATAAAAACTAATAAAAGAACATGGAGATGACCAGGCAGTCACCGTACAAATATCCTCCACTGTCATCCCTCCAAGCAGAGCTGTGGAAGAAGAAATCCTTCTGGTGGAATGCGCTCTGAGATTCTCCGGAGGATCCAGCCCAGATGAACTGTAATCTTCAGAAATAGCCTCACACAACCAGCGTGAGAGACGCTAGGTGGATAGAGGACGTCCTGCAGAGCTGTCCCTGTAATGCACAAACAGATGCTGAGAGCGGCGCAGTGCAGATGTGCGAGCCACGTAACACAAGAGTCCGCACATGGGACAAAGGTGATGAGATGTTGCTTCCTCCTCAGAATTATGAGGAGGAGGATAAAACCCATCCAAAGTTATCACTCTCGATCTGAATGAGCTTCTAATGCTTTTAGGAGTAAAAGCATGATTAGGACGCAGTACAGCAGAGCTGCCGTCGGCTTGAATTCTGAGACGTGAGGGAGCAACAGAGAGAGCAGATAAATCACTCACCCTCTTTGCAGATGTCAGAGCTAACAGCAGGGCTGTTTTAAATGACAGAAATTTAAGTGAAACCTGATCTAGAGGCTCAAAAGGAGCTTCAATCAGAGCGCACAAAACTATCGCTAGGTCCCACTGTGGGGCTAGTGGACGTGACACAGATCTGTGTCTCCATACACCTTTCAGAAAACGTTTAATCAGTGGGTGGTTAAAGACTGTTCTGTCACTGAAACTCTCATGACAGTAATAAATAGCTGTAGCATAAGTTTTAATTGTGCTGAACGCTTAATTTCTGTCCATTAGCTGCTGCAGAAATGACAACATGCCACCTAGTGGACATGAGATGGCCTCCACACCTTCCTCTGCGCACTAGCACTGAAAAGCTGTCCACTTTGATGTGTATAGTGCTGTGGTGGAAGCAGCTCATGCACCCTGGATAGTACGCACCACATCCTGTGGGAGGCCCAGCCTTTCTAAACGGATTTGTTCAGCAGCCAGACCCAGAGGTGCTGACCTATTTCTGAGTAGCTCCTGATCGCTCCTTCTGCCTGGAGGAGAGCGTCCTCCCTCCACGGCAGTTTCCACGGCCGGCCCGACACCAGTTGATGCAGGTTCGGGAACCACGGGGCGATTTTGCGCTCAGGAGCTATGAGAATGACTGACAGCTCTTCCTCTCAAACTCAGTACAGGGTCCGTGAGATCAGTGGGACAGGAGGGAACGCATAAAGAAGCATTTTTGGCCATGGGCTGTGAGCAAAAGCGTCCACCCCTAATGGTGGGTCGTCCCATGGGCTCAGTGAGAACCATAACTGACACTGGGTGTTCTCCCGTGTGGCGAACAGATCCACTGCTGCTCGACCGAACCTGCTCCAGATCCAAAAGATCAGCTCGGGATGGAGGCTTCAGTCCCCGTGGTGAGGACCGCCCCTCGACATGATGTTTGCTCCTCTGTTCAGGATGTCGGGAATGTAAACTGATCTGATGGAGAGCAGGTTTTTGCGTGCCTAGCATAGCAGCTGTCTCGCAATTTGTAACAGCTGCGCTGAGCGCACGCCTCCCTGATGATTTATGTAGGCTGCAGTCACTCTGTTGTCTGTATGGATCAGAACATGCTGATCCCGCAGTAGAGGAGCAAAATGCTGAGTCACTTTCCAGACTGTGAGAAGCTCTAGCACATTTATGTGAAAAGACATGTGGTCTGGCCACTGTACTTCCACTATCTGGGACAGACACGTTCCTCCCCAACCTGACAGGAACGCGTCCGTGAAAACTGAGACGTGTGACGTAGGCCTGCTGATGGGAACTGCCTCTGACAGAATGAGCAGGTTTCCCCAATGATTTAGATCGGTTCCTATGAAGGGGGGCACAGAGATTATTCGTCTCTTCTGGCGCATAGGATCTATGCGCAGGTGGGCGAACCATCTCTGAAGGTGTCTCATGTAAAGCAGACCCAGTGGAACCACGACGTGAGCTGCTGACATCATCCCCAGGAGCCGCATGACAGACAGAGCTGTCACTACGCTGCAGGGTTTGACACAGCAGAGCTGAGCTCACAGATCGTTGGCTTTCGGCTGTGATAAACGGGCTCTCATTGTGATTGAGTTTAGCTCCACTCCCAGATAAAGAATCAACTGGGATGGGAGAACGGAACTTTTTCCCAGTTTATAGGAAAACCCAGGTTTAGCAGGTGTAACGTTAGCATTTTGGTCTGCGTGGCTGCTTCCTGCCTTAACTGAGCTAATAAAAGCAGATTGTCCAGATAAAAAAGGATTCTCATTCTTGCCATGTGTAATGGCTGCAGAGCCGTCTCCAGGCATTTGGAGAATGTGCGTGGGGCGAGGCAATAACTGAATGGTAACCTGTTGTACTGATACGGAATCCCCTGGAAAGAGAAACGCAGGAATTTTCTGTGTTTTGGAATGATGGGAATGTGAAATATGCGTCCTTCAGATCTATAGAAGTGAACCAGTCGTTCTGGTGAACATTCTCCAGCAGCTGTTTGATTGTCAGCATGTGGAATTGTCTCTCCATGATCGATTTGTTGAACATGGACAGGTTGAGAATGGGTCTCATCCCTCCCGTTTTTTTTTCCGGAACCAGGAAGTAGCGGGAGTAAAACTCCGTGTTTTCCTCTCTGTTGGGAACTCTGGAAATAACATTTTTTATCAGGAGTTCCTGAACTTCTGACTGGAGAGACGAGCTCTTTTCTAGAGATGAAAGAACCGTCTCTATAATCCCTCTGAACGGTGGGGGTGAGCTGCGAACTGCAATGTGTAACCCCTGCTGATCAGTCGGTCCATCCACCTGTCCAGGGAACACACTCATTGCCACTCTGGGTAACGCCCAGAGAGCGGGCACGCATTTTTGTGTTGTGTCATGGTTCTCATGGACGTCAGCCAAGCTAGAGCCCCTACCGCCATCACCCGCTTCGGAGATTCTCTGGGGGGGAACTCAAAGGGGGCTCAGACAGAAAGGGTTGTCTGTACGCTTCTGTGCTCTGCTCAGGCTGCGGGCTCACATTAGAGCTGAGGTGAGCCAGCGCGCACTAAGAGGAGGCGTGGGTGCTTTTTTGAATGAGACGCCGTTTCGGGAGGGGGGGAGGGGGGCGGCTGCTGCGGTGAATGGACAGAAACAGCAGAAAATAAAATGGGCTGTGGTTGAGAGCAAGGGATTTTCCTGGACTCGGTCTGCTGAAAAACATCATTTTTAGCTGATGTAACAGACAAGTGCTTGGTGAGATTTACTGAGTTGCGGTGCTTCTTAAAATGCAGTTTAGAGGTTACTGGCTCGTTCTGTGTGGGATATGTGTGAAGAGAGGCAGCTGTGAGATCAGTTGATCTGACAGTCAGGCTGGAATCAGATGAAACTTTGCTCTCTGAGAGATGTTTTTGTTTTATTTCAAAACATACATCATCAAAAACACACACATTCCCCTCAAGGAGTTGTTCCCTAGTGGAGGGGTCCAGCAGAGGAGCGGAGCGTGAAGTTACTGCCACAACTGTGGAGTGCCTCTGCTGCTGTTGCTGGCCACGGCAGTCCCTCCAGCAGACGGAGGAGCGGGAGGAGGACTGTGACGTCACCAGATGGCATACTGTCTCTGAGGGTGCATTCACACCAGCCCTGTTTAGTCCGCTTTAATTGAACTCTAGCTCGTTTTCCTAGGAAGTCCGGTTCGTTTGGGGAGGTGTGAATGCGCCATCGAACTCTGTCAGGGAACAAAAAGGCGAACGCTGGCCTGGGCTAAAACCTAGGTCTTGGTCCGGTAGAAAAAAACTCCAGCGCGGTTCGAGTACAATGTGAATGCAATCAGACCGGGCCCCGCTCCACAAGCAAGAAGTGGAATACAGCGCAAGGCAAACAAACATGCATTTCTCTGACCTCATATGGAGCCACAAGCTGCCTTGTGTGAAAAATAATATTCTCCATGGTCTTCTGCCTCATCTTCTGCTCATGCTGAGTCCATTTTTGAAAAATGACAAAATATAACTCCTAAAACTGCTAAAACTTGATGCCACTCCGTTTTTTTTTTATTTCCAGAAGAAGAAGTGTCTTCAGAGGTTTTTATGTCATTTCTTTCAGTAGTTCTTGGTGCAGCGCCACCACAGGCGAGTGGGGGAACAGGTTGGTTTGAATAGGTTGGCTCGACTGCACAGTGCAGTGTGAATGCAAACGCACCAGCTCAAATGTAAACAAAATGTTATGAATATTGGTCCCCAACTGAACCGAGTCTACCGGACTATCAGGTGTGAAAACAACCTGAGACTTCCTTGGTCCTCTGCGATTTTTCAAGGATGGTCCTGAAGTTGGCCCCGAACAGCACATCTGGGATGATGGGGCCCTCCAGCAGGTCCCTCTGCAGCCTCTCGGGCATGGGGCAGAGGCGGAGCCAGGTGGTCCTCTGAATCATGGTCATCTAAATAGCGATGCAGGACAGACAGACTGCAGAGGTGGTGCACAGATTGAGGATGACGTCGGTGGCTTTACAGAGGGAGCGCTTTGTCTCCTCCGGCAGGTCTGCTTCCTCCAGCCTCTTCGAAATGCTGAAGGCCAGCAGGGCAATGTTGTTGTTCACCGCGGCCGCCTGGAATGAACACTGGTGAACCTGGTTGGAGAGCTTTGTGATGATCTGGTCGTGCTGCCCTGGAGAGACAGGTCGCTGGTCCATCCTGAAAGCCTTTGCCCTGAATGCCTCCGCAAGGCTTGGCTCCAGAGGGAGAACTGAGGAAAAAACCCCGCTCGGTAAAGTCCTCCACTCTGGTGATGGGTGCGAAGGTAGAGACAGGCGCCTTCATCTTGCCGGGCCCAACTGCAGCCTCGTTCCAGGATGATGTCACAGCTGGAAAGTGGGGCAGATGGGGCAAGGCGACGAGCTGGGGCAGAGCCAAGCCTTCCCGCCAGATCATCCGATCGGGGCGGAGGGAGGAGAGGGATGGAAAGTTCCTTTGTGTCAGCAGCCTCCTGGATTATACCGGACAGTTCCAATAAGAGGGTGCCGACGACTGGGAGCAAAGTGGTCGCCGCCATAGAAAGAAAGAAAGGTGGTTGAGCATCCGCTCGGCCGTCCAGCTTCCATCACTACACTCTCCAGGAGGGAGGGGGCAGCGGGGCTGCTGCCAGCATCGCCTTTTTCGGAGGAATCGTCCGATTTACCGCATGGCTCTGCATTAGAAAAGGCGATGGCGTCGTCCAGCGAGTAGTGTTCCACTACAGAAAAACTCCTCGGCACTTACCTTGAACAAGGCTGCTCATCTCTGCTTCTCCTTGGGATGGAGGAGCTCACAGGGATGGCCAAGGTGGTGAGGTCAACGTGGCAGAGACCCAGGCATCCTTCGCAGCTGTCGTGCTGGTCAAAGCTTACGATGTAGCCGGTCTGGCAGGATGGGCACAGGTGGATGGTGCTGGACATCTTTTTCTTCGCTCTTCTGACAGTGCTAGCTGGCTGAAGAAAAAATGGGAGCCGATTGTCCGGTCTCACCGTAATTTATACGGACCGGGGGTGGGGCCCACACAGCCGTTGGGCCCAGACTAAAGTTTTCAATGATGCGCTGTGCGCGAAGGGATAAACCCACTATTGATAACCTTAAAGGGCGAAAACTATATGAAATCGAACTAAATTTCTAGCCTATACTGTGGCTGTTTTTCCCCTCCTGATGGACTCAGGATTCATTTCACCAGACGGATCTCAACCTCCATGGTGCTGCATGGTGGTGTGTCTGTACAGGACATTTGTTCTGCAGATTACTAGTCCTCACCGGATGGACCCAGTGAGGTATAGACTACATCCTGCTTTGCCTTTATCCCAATAGTGTGGCTTGAAGGACAAAGCACATATGAAATAGAACATTGGTTATGTACTGTAACCCCAGATTCTGTGCCCATATTCATAGAATCTGTGGTTACAGTATGTAGCCTACGTTTCTGCTACAGTATCTGGAATATTTTTACATTCTGGTGTTTTCTTCTCTTATTTGTCAGTCTTTAAAACAAGGTTAATGGAATAAAAAAAAAGAAACTTCAGCTTCTTATCTTTGTTAATTTAGATGAATAACAAAACTATTTATAATGAAGAACAAAAAGCAGTTGTCATATGACCTACTTGTTTTAAAAAGTGACGGGTAAAGAAACAATATTAAACAGAACTCAGACGAAAACTTTTTATTTTTACCCTTTTTTGCACGGGCCAGGGCTTAGTGATGGCTGAAATGTCACATGCGGTCATCAGCATCGACCTGGAAGGAGTGGACACAGAAACGGAGTGTTATCCAGTAAATCTACTCTTCATAGAAACCATGATCATTGGCATCAGAAGCATTTGCAATGTGTGAAGGACATACTAGTGTGTGTGTGTGTGTGTGTGTGTGTGGGGGGGGGGGGGGGGCTTTGGGGTCCTCCCTTAGAATATTTTGAATAAAGTAGATGCCATTTCCTGCATTCTGGTGTATTTTAACAGGTTGTTATGTTTAGGGACCGTTTACATGACACATTTTGAGTGAAACTGCACCTTTCTCTCTGCGGTTTGGCTGTTCATTTACACAACACCAGCCCTCTCTGAATTCGGAGGTTTTTAAATCCAGGTCTTAGAGTGGAGATATTTGGGGGTACCCCCGCTGAGGTGTGAAAGCACATGCACACTACAGGCGTATATTTCACTCATGCGCGGACCAATGGCACATTTCAATCAACAATAATGGAGGCGGAGTATTACATCCTGTTCTACGACTGATGGAATATATTTTAGGTCTCGTAGTTAATCTATGCCGGAATGTTGCTGTTGTGACCGACATCCGTGTTGGAAGAGATGCCAGTCGGATCCAGTATGAAATTGCTGAACGAGCCTGTCAAGGTAGGCGTATATTTCACGTGTAATGCTGGACTGTAACATACTAAATGTGCTAAATAATAACTGTAAACATAATAAACCATATTTCTGTTAGTGGTGTGAAATGTAATGAAGCTATTTTAGCTAACTGAAGCTATATGGACATTATGTAATTCAAATAATGTGATTTAAACTTTGTTGATGATGTGAAACACATCACATACCATACAATACCATACATTTTATTTATAAAGCACTTTAAACAGCGACAGGGCCAACCAAAGTGCTGTACAAACAGAAACAAACAGGCAAAGCAAAACACACATAACATAGCGTAAAATCAAAATATAGAAACAAAATAATAGCAGATAATAACATAATGACTAACACAGTGTACAGATTCAGCACAGATCATACAGTGTTGAAAGCCAGGTAATAGTAGTAGGTTTTTAAGCGGGATAGGTAACTCATTCCAAAGTCTTGGGCCTGCAACAGAGAAGGCCCTGTCACCTCTGTGCTTAAGACGAGTTCCTGGAACTGTGAGAAGCAGCTGGTCCGCTGACCTCAGAGAATGCGGTGGGACATATGGCTGCAGCAGATCAGTGAGATAGGAGGGTGCAGAGCTGTTCAGTGATTTATGGACATGCAAGAATTTTTTGAACTGGATACGAGAGTGAACTGGTAACCAGTGCAGTGAGGCCAAAACTGGTGTAATGTGCTCTCTTTTGCCTGTACTGGTTAAAAACCGGGCTGCTGCATTCTGGACCAGTTGTAGTCGTGCAATGGAGGTCTGACTGATACCAAACAGGAGCGAATTGCAGTAATCGAGCCTAGATGTAATGAATGCATGTATTACTGTCTCCAGGTTATTTTTGGACAATATGGGCTTCAGCTTAGACAGCCGCCTCAGCTGTAAAAAACAGGATTTAACAATCATGTTTACATGACTGTTAAGTTTCAAGGAAGGGTCCATTATCACTCCCAGATTAGTGACTCTTTAGGCCCTTACCCACAGGGCCTTTTCGGGCTCCTATGTAACCAGTTTGGGCCTATTGCGCAGTTTCTCCCCAGTGCCTTCAGCGGTGGAACCCGCACGATTTTTGGGACCTACTTCTCTGGGGTCCCAGGTCTGGTTCTTGTTGGGCCCAGATGTGACGTCAGCGCACTGTCGGTCACTGATTAGTCAGGGGGAGGAGTCACTGGATCTTTAAGAAACTTTTCAAAACACTGATCTGCCATTTGCAATTTCTCGGACTGGAGTAGTGCCTGGACCTATTTTAAATATTTTAAAAACAATAATGACACACTGTGGCCTAATGCAGAAGTGCTGGCGTTTTTTTTTTTTTTTTGTGCTTGCTGGCCGACGACAAAATTCAGAGCGAGCTAGATGGAGCTCTGCCGGTCTACCCGGGTCCTCTCCACCGGAGCGTCGGAGCAAGGCAGGGCGTCATCTCCTCAAGCTAAAAGTTATCTGTGGACGTAAGTAAAAAGCGATATTTACTGTTACGTTTTTTTGAGTTGAAAACTGCATAAATGGTGAATGTCTGTTTTCTTCGAGAGCTAAGTATTAGAGAAGCTAGCTGGCCGTAGTTAGCATGTAGCTTCTCATCACAATATACTACCGGTAGATATCACCGGGATACGAATTTTATGTCATATCAAACATCCCAGTCAAATGTTAGATACAGTAGGAATGTGGACAGACCGACTGGCCGGCAAAAAAAAAACGAGACTACGGCAGTGTTCTGTTCAGCCAGCATACATCATCTGATAGCCATATGCGTAGCACTGATTGCCATACATGTAGCGCAAACTGACGGCTCCATCTATCCGCTGTGAGATCACCATACACTTCTATTTAATTAGCCATATCACACCATCACGTAGCAGTTAACCTGTCAGATCATCATACTTTGTTATTAACCGCTGTATGATACGCTGACATCTCAATCCGCCCTGAATAACAGCTGTATAACACCCTGATGCCTCAATCTGCCCTGAATAACAATTGTATTATATCCTGAGTTAACAGTTTAACTGCTGTATGACACCCTGACTTAACAGTTAAGGCAACAGAATAATTATATTGTCATTATATTGTTTAAATTCACAAAGCTCGGACTAACTTCACTTGCACTGTTCGCACATAAACAAACGGAGTTTTCGCTCCACCTGAAGTCAAGCACATATTACATGCAAAGTGTCACCAAAATGATATACTTACGGTTCAGGAAATGCATTGCACACTGTAAATTGTGTAAATACACAATAATACCATGTGTACTTTGCACCAAAACAATTTACTGACTTACTTTTTGTTGTATCTTGCAGTGTAGGATGATCATACAGCTCCTCTGAATGTCACAGGCTTATTGCAAAATGTGTATGCGCGCGCATGCGTATTAACTGAATGTATGATACCATCACATGTATGCTGAATGGACCGAGCACCGGCAAAAAAAACAAAAAAACTGACATAATTAGCGTGTAGCTTCGTGTAGCTTCTCATCACAATAGACCATGGGTGTCAAACTCAATTGCACAGGGGGCCAAAACTCAAAACTTGCGGGCTGAACAGTATAACTATTTATTTAACAGACTAAATATTTATGTTTTTTAACCATTAATATGAAGCAAAATACAGGATATCATTCCAAAATAAATACATTTCAACTTAAAATATTTTGCTCTTCATAAAAAAATATCCTGTCAATACAATACATTCAAAATCTGTACATGCTGGAATATTAAAAAATCCGAAAATATAAATAAAAAATTGAATTTAAAGCAAAAGTATAATCATAACAAATCATAACATTCCATTTTCTTGTCCTATTTAGTCAGAGCCTGATACTTGGAGTCTTTTCTTTGCAACAAGTTCGTTTATGTTTGGGGTTAGGTTCTGTGTTGTGGAGATTCTCAGGATCGATTGCAGGTGTTCATCAGTGAGGCGACTCCTGTGTGACGTTTTGTTAATTTTCATCACAGAGAACAGCTGCTCGCACAGATATGTGCTGCCAAACAAGGACAGGATTTGAGCCGCATGTTGGCGGAGCTGCGGCATCGCTTCAGGAATGAAGCGA